CACAGCGGGGAGTAACCTGACTTAAAGAACAGTCCATATCCACCCACCTTTAGTAGTTGCTTCTGGTGTTGCTGCGCTCATCTCAGTAGTAGGATTACTTACTGTCTTGCCCGTGGTAGCTTTGGTCGTGGTTTCTGTTGCCATCATTGTGGTGGTTTGTAATGGGACTTCACGGAGGTCTGCAGACAGATTTCAACAGAAACCAGAAATCGAGACAGTTTGCATTTTAATTTTTTTTTTCACTTTTAGATCTCGTTATCTTCATTTGAAATTTCCTTTGCTCTAATGAACATGGACAAATAACTTAAGAACCTCGCAGATATGTAATCAGTCAAGCTTATCCGATCGTTTTTGCCGCAATCGAAAAAAAAGAAAAAAGAACAACCCGTCCATACAGCGTTCAGTTGCCTAATGTCAAAGTTCTGATTTGGCCGAATAACTTTGTCACACCCACAACAACAAGATCCAACGGGGCCTACACACCGTTTCCAAGTCGATCAGAGGCTACACCGTTATCAAACCTGAAACGGTACAAAAATGCTGTCAACCGGGCTACGATAGCGTGGCTAACAACATTCTTTGTAAATGATGCTTAAATGGCGAGATCGAAAGACCTTTACGGCTAAACAGAATAAAGTAACATAACAGGAATATCGACCTGCACTCTGCTTTACGCCATCACAGTGCACCCGAAATCACTTGCTTCGATAAACCGCTTCGCCTTGGACAACTTCAATATGGACAGGTAAGTTATCGATGAGCAAATACGCTCAGATGAGGAAAAGCGTTACAAGCCAGCATATTCGCATTTTAGGTATACGTACTCACCAATATTTCGCAATAACAGCGCTTGAGAATGGCATGGTGTTAAGTCATTCATGCCCAACCGGGATTGGTAATGCACACAGTACACATTGTCCATCTTTTTCGTGTAGTTCGTAATCTTGAGATACACCATTCCGGCGGATAAATCGGCAATTACAGTGGCTCTGTTGATGTAATTTCCGTCATGCTTCCTAGGGTACACCTTTTCAAAATATCCAGTCCCATTTGCAGAGCCGACCGGATCCATTACAGACTCGACTGGCCTTGACAGGGCCCTAACATAATAGCGGCTCACAATACTGGAGTTGGCTACAATTCGCCAGCACAAGGTGACGTTATCGCCTTCCGAAGCATATGTCATCGGAGGACTAGGGCAAGAAATTGCGGCAACTTTGACTCTTGCTGAAGAAAAGATAAAGAAATAGAGTGGAGTTGAGTGAAAGTATTTTTGTTTAAATACCGAATATATCGAAGAGCAGAGACGGTTGGTAGCTATATCTTTCACTGTTGCTGGTTAACTAGAAATAAGAAGCTTTGATTTTCCCTACTTACCGATTAATACGTTTATGAATAAAATTCCTTTGAAAATTTGTGGAAGGATCTGTTTTTCCATTCTTGTCCTAAGAGAGAGAGAGAGAGAGAGAGAGAGAGAGAGAGAGAGAGAGAGCACTCTCATTTGATGTTTCAGTCAGCATCCCAACATTTATTTCAAACCCTTTACACCCTAACATCGGCATGCATATTCTCCGTACTGGTCTCCATACATTTCCCATCATACTGGTAAGGAGAATTTGGAAAACAATCTAGAGCTTCTTAACTTGATGATCTCTTCAAGAGAGAATCTCTTCATGAGAATTTATGACTCATAAATTATCATGAATTTTTTGTTGAGCAGTGAAGCTGTTAGGAGAAATAAGAAACCGGTCACCTAAATTAAGAAAACAAAAAACCGACTTCCATATCTACAAAGCGAAGATCTGTCTCTCTTTGTTTGCCTATAAAGGTTTGGAGAAACTTTGGAGAAAGGACATCGTGCGATTGTTAACAAGGCAAATTGTCTATTTCCGTGATGCTAAAGTTATTTATTTTAAACCGAGAGTAAGAGCGGAACCTTAATTTTCTAGAAAGAAAGAGGTACAATTGGTGTCACGCAAGTTAGGTGGCTAATATAAAATTCATCGACCGATGGAAAAATAAACCGTCGCATTAAAGACTGTTTTAATGAAAATCTAAGACCAATGCTCCACTCCACTGTTGATCACACCCCTACAGCAATTTAAAATCGCTTTACTCTTCCTTGTGTAAATGAGCGTGATTTCTTGAGTCTCAATTGCAATGTCACGCAATTCTCCCCAAAAAAATCGCGCAGCACCCAGAATTTGGGCTGAGGAGGCCTCTCTGAGACATCAGTGTACACTTCCTTAAATGTAAAAGTGGGACTCTCCAATAATTAATGAAGATTTGCCACTCAAAATATTATTATTAAGTGTTCTTATCTTGATCTGTCCTAACAGGAGAGGGTATTAGAAAGTTTTTATACATTTTGACTGATCACGATTTTTCTTGACAAGAGCCGGGTTGCGTAAGGTTGGTTGAACATGGTTTTCAGCGTGAAAATAGCAGGACGATAAAACAAAGATATAAATAAAAATTTTTTTAAATAACATTGAACCAAGTAAAAGTTAGGTGACATTTGGCATTGCAGATCTCATCTGCGCCATTATTAAAAAAAGATTACAACGGACTTAAACGGTACGACCAAGACAGTGTAAAGAAAAGAGCCAGGGCGCCGTTTAAGGGGTTCTTGAGTCACGAATATCTTGAGAAATTGCAGTGTTAAAGATTGATTAGGAAATTTTTTTGTAAAACATTCTCTGGGGTGGCAGCTGTAAATTAAAACCAGTGAATTAAACAAATTACTTTAGTCACAGGAAAGTTATAGCAACTCCAAAACAACCTCACTTTGTTTCAATTGACCAGATGTCGCTTAGCCGAAAAAAAATGCAGTTTTTAAAAATTCTCAAAAAGAATTAAAGTTCTGTTTGCAAACAACCCCATCCGTCAGTCCAGTTTACTTCTGTGCGAATGTGGAAATAATTCAGTGCGTGAGCACTGAGAAAATTTGTTTTTCTTCAATTTCTTTCGGTACTATTTACACGAAAACAAATCATGCTACTTCGGTGTCATGGCCGTAGAAGTTTTTTGTCATGTATATATTTCAAACTTGGGTCACCATGTTCAAAAAAGAGTTCATTGCCGGAAAGAAGCAACTTACCAGACGAGTGAAATTATACTTGGACAGTTTCCGGCAGTCACGATTTTACCTCGAGTTTGCGTGCACAGGCATAAAAAGAATAAATTATCATGATCGTTCTGAAAGAAAACTTTTTTTCTTGGTTTCGAATGGAAATTCGTTCACATCTCTAATGCAAGCTATAGCTAGCAAAAAAACGAACTTTTAACGTGAATTGTACTTACTTTGGTTTTGAATTAGATGTTAACACTGCTTCAACTTGACTTTGGCTGCGGAAAACAGCCCGAGAACTTTGCTTTCTTTTAGGGCATTAGTAATTAAGTCGCAAAGACATGTGCTGTCATGTGCCCGAGGCATTCGACCAAAGTACAAGGTTCTATTTAGCGATCAGTGAACGTTCGACTGACTAATAACTCGTGATTGATACTACGCTGAGTCCAATGAATAAAAATCAAGGTAACGCGATTAAACTCATGCCCTTCGAGTAACCTAAATTAGAAAAAAAGATTCATTTCCCTTTTGGAATTTGCTTTACCTTACAGAGAAATCCGGCGTTGATAAGCGAGGCAACGACACAGATTTCCAGCGTTCTCTAAACAGAGAGAGTCGGAAGCGAAAGGTGCCGTTGGGGTATATTTTAAATTTTAGACTAGTTTTTTATATTTTATCGTGAATTAAAAAACATTGAAATCCAACACACGAGATTATCACTTATTGTGTCATAATTTTCATGGTCGTTTAGGAAATAAGACAACCTTTTTCCAACCACTTTTTCAGAAATTCAAAAATGGGACTCTTCTCTGAACTGCAGACAGTTAAAGAATTGATACGACTTGCCTAACCCAACACAACATCTTGCTGAACATTCTGTCGTGCTGACAAGGCTTAAGGGTGTCGAGAGGTGAAACTTCCACTTATGAAACTTTGCCAAAACAGTGTACATGCTTACAAAAGCTGATTGATTTGTTTACGTCGATGAGAACACTTTACTTATATCTACAAACAATAAATTAAGACGTTCTACAGCTATCAACACTGCCACGGCATAATACCCTTGAGATTGTGAAGCTCTTTTACGAGGTGAACACGAAATTTCGCCCGCGTGCAAATCAGTAGAAAGGCTTTGAAGACATCAGTGCATTAAAATGATGTATCATGGAACCCTCTGCCATAGGGCATTTTTTAAAAGTTTTTTTGGAAGATATCACACAGGATGATCTTTGTAGGTTCAAAGTTCAACACCGAGAATAGATATTTAAAGAAATCCTTTAAAATCATCAGAACACGCCTAGGCCTAAGTACAGCACCACATATGCCGCACGTGATAGTCAGAAACAACCTTGACAGACATTACCGGTAGATAGAAGAATCTTATTTGCAGACAGAATTTAATTTATTCAGCCTTTCTGAAAAGTTGTCGAACAGATGTTACGAAATCCGCATCCTAAATTTCAGACTCTCTCGTTGCCAATAGCTCACGATTGTGTTCATGGCGTCACAGTCCACTGATCTTCCTAAACTGATCTTCGATGGAATCGTGCTTCAATTCTCGTGGAATAATGACGGTATCAGGTGGTAAAATCACAAATATCGGTTACTGATTCAAGTTCTTCACGGTTCACGAGAAGCCTTTCGATCGCTGACTGATCACGTCAATAAAGAAATTCATCCATCACGAAAAATATCCCTGTACGTGACTAAAGAGGGCCACGTTTATTGAGCGGGTAACTTTCCTTGAGAGTTAGAAATAAATGGCAAATTTATGTGTATAACCTGACCTAGCTGATCATAATTGGCCCTGGTACAACTATATACTATCTACGATTTCGTTAGAATAGGAAAACACAGAATAAAACATTCCTAAATCATTTACCACTACATACTATACCATAGTTTATGCAGCTTACAGCTAGTTACATACGTGTAGATACAGGGGCAGTTGAATTGATGGTTACAAGATAAAAACAAAAGAAATGAGAAATCCGTGATAACTCATAAGAAAAAACCTAACTCAATTATTTAAGACTTTAATTGATGATATGGCAAAATTGTTAAACTTGATGCTCAATACAATAAACTTCTTCGTTTTGTTCAAAAGCAAGGAAACTGAAGAAGCAAATCGTTCGCTGTATAAGTTTTGACGGTGAGTCATTTGTCACATTCTGTCTTGCGCGCAGCAGAAACATATGAAGGATGATAAACACCGTTCAGCCTCCATTTGGCTCGCAAATATGCTCGTATATTTGTCCGTGGACATCATCTGTTTCTTGAAGTTCGTGTTTCCTCAAGCTTCGCTCTCGGAAAACTGCCGGCTCCTCAGAAGAGATGAAGTCTGCAGACCAATTTTCGAACATACTTTGGCGCAAATTGGAGGTCAATGTTTAAACATTGAACAAACCACGACAAACCGCAACAACCAGTTCTAAACCAAGTTAGTCTCAATGAAATGCATATTTTAAGCGTCCACCCTGAATCTAAAAGCTGATTTTTTTCCGCTAAGGCGATATACAAAGTTGCAGAATAAGAATTTGCCGCATTGTCTGACCAAAGAGCTCATGAGATAAATATTTCTGTAAGTCTCAGGATCTAATACTTGTTTCTCTCTTCCGTAGCTCTAGATTTCATTTTAACCTACTGCAGCTTAAAGAACAAAGAAGAATCAATTTGCAGCTAAAGGGACTCAGTTTCTTCGAGGATGTCGGATTTTAAGTTGGCTTGATGGGATTTTCTTGCACAGCAACACAAAACGAAACCAAAAATGGCAAGAATGAGAGCAATAGCAAACAAACAGCTCATGATTATCAAAGCCGTTCTGTAAGGCTGGACAGTAGGTGAACCTGAAAAGAAAAGAATAGAACTCAGCTACCTGACAATTTCTTCCTCCTCCTCCCCCCTACCCCCCTGCCCCCTCATCTTCTTAGTAAAACGTCTTTCAACTCTATCTTCGTCTGAAGTGCGAGCGAAAGCAGAATGCAAGGGATTGTAGGGTGAAGGGAGAAGAAGGGAGGGGGGGGGGTTGGGAAGAAGGAGGAAAGAGAGAAAAAAGTTCCCATTAACTAACAAAACTGCTAAGGGGGTGGGGGTAAGGGGTGAGGTAGGGTTATACGCCACGCTTGGAGTGATACAATTTACGTAAATACATGAGCATCTTAACTCCTGAGCTAATTTAAATGTGCATGCTTCATGCCAAACCACAAACTAATCCAAACTAACACTAATCCACGAGTACCCACCTTCAGTTGTCACCTCTGTGATTTCTGTATTTTCAGTTGCGGGTGCTGTGGCGATAGTCGCCGTGGTGATAGCCGCCGTGGTGATGGTTGCCGTGGTAGTTTTCGAGGTGGTTTCTGTGGTCATCGTTGTGGTAGTTTGTACTGGGGATTCACGGTGGTCTGCAGATTATGTTCAGGAGAGATAAATCCGTTTACAAATGGGAATTGAAAGAAATCAGTGACTGCTTTGGTTCTGCTTTATTTGGTTGCATGATTGGGTAGGGGAATTCTAGCCTATGTGTAGCCGTATCCTCCCCCCCAAGGTTACCTCGCCTCCGTTTCACCCTGGGGGGGAGGGTACGGTTACACGAAGGCTAGGGGAATTCGCGATTTTGGTTCTTCATAGCTTGCTGCAAAACAGTAAAATGACCCGAGTCTCTGGTCCCATCGCGGAGAGCATAATTACAAAGCAATACAAAACAAATATCTAATTATCTTCAGTCGTGACACAATTACGTTTCTCAAAAAACTGATCACGGAGACATCCTTTAACCATGGAAAAACTACAGAATGTCTGGGTGTCAAAACTGTGGTCTATAGTTTCCATAAACAGGTTGCTTTTTTTAAAAACTGTTGTAGGCCTATACTCATTCAAAATTAATAATCAAAATCTCTATAGTCAGGGCTAAGGATCCTGAGTAATTACAGTGACAAGTGCATGGTTTAAAAATCACGAGTAACAGTCCAATGTGTTGAGTCTGATGGTCTGAGTGTGGTTAGTCATTTCTACACCGGACACATGAGATGAACTCACCAACATTTCGAAGTAACAACGCTTGAGAGTGACACGCTTCAAAAGGAGTACCGTCTAACATATTGTACAACACACAGTAGACATTGTCCATCTTTCTAGTGTAGTTTTTGATTCTGAGGTACAACATTCCCGCAGATAAATCGGCGAAGACGGTAACTTTGTTGAGGTACAAGCCGTCATGAGCTTTAGCGTATACCTTTTCAAAATGTCCTGTCCCATTTGCAGAGGCGACTTCATCCATGTTGGTTTGGATTGGTCTTTTCAATGCCTTGATAATATAGCGGTTCACACTACTGGCGTTGACTGTAATTCGCCAGCAGAGAGTAACGTTATCGCCGTCCGAAGCATATGTTATTGGGAGACTGGGACAGGAATTTGCGGCATCATTGTCACCAACTGAATTGGGAAAAAAAAGAGCATCGTTTGGGTGAAGTTAGTGCTGCAAGTGGAAGGTGAGAAAATATCTACAGAGCGTACCACTCTCAGCGAAACGTAACCAGGATCCATGAACCGTCCTTTCAGTTCTTCTCTAAACCCTCTTTTATGTTATAATTCTTCTCTCAGAACTGATTAAATTCTCTAACTTGTCTGCTCCTTGGCTTTCTCTAACCGACTCTGTAGAAATCGCTCCTATTGGTAGATAGGTAGACTAGGTAGATAGTATCGGTAGACATGAGTGGGCATGTACGAAAAATGATCTTGGAAGATTAAACATTTTCAAAAGAACACTAATCCACACACAGGAAGATCTCACGAATGAACAACAACGGAATTTAAACCTGTGATCAAACATTCAATTTTTGACTCAGAAAGCCATAACGAAAAACTTAGGGTTGGGTCCAAGGCAATGTCAGCACATAAACTAAACCCGTCCATAATGGAAGAAGACAAGACTGTCAAAACCAAAAACTCGTCGTGATGGCTAAAACCCAAATCACTTCGGACTTTGAATTCAAATCTTCATTAAATGCTAAATATAACCAAACAAACTTCGGAAAATTGTCAAAGGTGCTCTAAAAAAGATTATCATCATAATTATTAAGAATTACAAAGTACTTGGGGCTGTTTTCTACCCGCTCATGAACTACATCACAAGTTGTTCAAAACACAGATGTGCATCTGACAGAGCTGGACTTAATTTTGTAGTTTAGTTTAACAACAAGAAGAGAAGCTTCGATATAACCACTTACCAATGAACACACTTATAAATAAGATTCCGTTCCAAATGTTGAGTATTTGTTTCCCCATGCTTGTGTTTGCATGCGGAAGAGCTAACGTCAGATTCACCTGAAAGAGAAAAATTAAACGCTTGGCACCTGGCTTAGTGAAATTTCCAAAAATATTCCGACACCTTCCGAAGAAACACCAAAGATGTCCCGACGATTTCCGAAAAAGTTCCGAAGATATTGCATCAGTGTCCTTTTTAATCAGAGAAAAAAATTGAATTCGAAATTTGAAAAATCAACAGGCATTTGTGCAGTTAACAGTTGCCATACAACAACAAACGCCTGAATATATACACTGTGTTAAAAGAATCACCTCACCGATAATTTGCGTTGAATCAGAAATTCTCAGCACGAACAAATTGCAAGTAAACTATTTTCTCTTTATCAAAGAAAAATTTTTGGCAATTAAATGGCGATCTGTCCATTTATCTCTACATTACTTTGGCGAGCAAATCAGATGTTGCCCTCTACGTTAGGGTTAGTAAAAGTTCAAATTAATTTTTTTTTAAACAGAAATTCATCGACTTTTAAGGTAAAGAAGCAAGTAATGCCACTACAAAGATCTATTATGCTTACCTCGGTATGTATTTCTTTGCAATGCTGTAGCAGGACTGGAGCTGAGATAAGCTTAAAGGCTTATCTTTGCTTCCACGTGAATTATAAAATATTTAGTATTCAATTTAGATCATGTGCCTGAACAAAGTTCAAAGGTTCTAGTTGAGGACCAATTACCCTTTGCTTTCTCATATGATTAAAGCCACGCTTTAGTCCTGTGAGAAGCCAAGGTAACGCTATCCTTCTGGTCACGTATCCTGAAGACTGCATCATATGTTGCGCGGCACGAGAGGGTTTCTAGATTTTCTTACTGCATCCAACAATCCTCGTAGAAATCTGCTCTACGACCCTGGGAAAGAAGCTGTTCATATTCTATTCCCCACCCCACGAGAGGGAAGGGGGAAACAGGCTTTAAGGTTGGGTGAGAAAAGGTCTCTCCGACTGGCTTCGGGTCTTATAAACCAATTATTTTCGCTATCACAATAGTAGATAGCAGATATTTAATCGGCCGCGCTATAATTGCCTGAATCAACTACTGATTTAAAATGAATAAAAGTAACCAAACAAAGGGAAGAAAAACAAGGAAAATGAACCACAAGCCTGTGAATAATGATTGCATCATATATTGTAGCTTTCAAACGGTCATTTGAAAATTGGTTTAAAACATTTTTGTAAACCTGAAGAAAGCAGGACACTTTCAAAACATTTGACAAATAATATAGATGTTTTCCTCTACTATAGCGTTTTTCCTATAACTTGATTTGACTGATCGTCTCTGTCGATTAACCAGTTCCCCCTGGGGATATCTCAACAACTGTCAACATCAAATGTAATTATCTACGACCGGTTTAAAAGTGTTTTGCTGACTCTAAGGCAACGTAATTCCTCGGGATAAGAGCAGTGAGTTACTTCCATATTTTGAGCACGCCATCCCTGCCAGCCGATATGATATAGTTCTGGGGTAATTTAGTGACTGCGATGTCGTTGATACATTCATGATGTCCCATAGGGGGATGGTCGGGTCCTCGTCGAGGTAGATCATCATGTATGCCACCCTGGCGTGGCTTACAGTAAACTTCCTGGAGTACATCGGTACCGTCTATAAGACGTGATCTAGAAATAGAAACAAGCATATAGATGATGCGTGTATAGCATTGGTTTTCTGAAATACAATAAACTATTGGAAAATTCAAGGCCGCTTTTAATAAACAACAAGATATCTTTAAATTTTGCCAAAAAATTAAATCTCGATAACGCTATTTCGCTGGATGAATAAACCGCGAGGTAAGTCGAAACTATTTTAGAGTAAAGTGCAAATTAAACAAAGAAACAATTGTGATGACCTAGATCTGACAAATGAAAATAACAAAATTGTTGTCAATTGACCATGTTCTCAGCCTTTAAATACTCCGTCAAGATACAATTGACGATAGTATACTCGATAAGGTAGTCCTTACTTGTACTGTAGTACCACACCATTCAGGTTATCAGTAGCAACTCCTGCCACCATCTGGGAACGTTCAGGATAGGCCAGGTCCCACAGCCGAATCCGCCGATCTGAGCCTGCGGTCAGGATGTACGGACTAACATCCTTTCTGCTTGTATACAGCGCATGCACTGCGTTAGGGGAAACCTAGAAACCAGACGAGAATAGCGATTACTCAGAGGATTCTCCACCGCTATTTCCTTCTCTATGCGGCATCAAAGCCTTTGTGTAGTAAACTGAAACACCTTGAATCTCAAAAGAAGCGGCGATTTATTTACCTCTTTTGAGGTACCTCGTATACAAGTAAAAAAGAAAGGAAGAAATATCAGCTTTGGAACTTAAGGTATCAGATTTAACGTTCTAAAAATTATACTGAATTTCGAGATTACCTTTAGATGTTGAACAGAGTAATAAGGGAGTTTTAGATCCACGTTTGTTTCTGAATACGCATGACCGCAAACGTCTAGCAGTCACGTGACCAGACTCCAGAGGTCACGTTTGCCGTTTGCCGTTTGCCGTCCACGTTTGAACTTCGGGCAAGGCAGTTTCAGGTAATTCAACTCCCTCGACGCGTTTTTTCTTCCTGTTCGAAAGTTCGTACGTATGTCCTATCAATATATGTGAAGTAGAGTCTTTTTATAACCAATCCGTTTGGGACGCTGTAAAACTAATCTTTTAGCCACATTTTGTGCTTGGAATGAAGGACCTCCATCCTTTGTGTAATTCAAGATGGCGGCTCACATGCCGATTTTTTTTTTGGGTGAAAGCCGATGTCGATCTAAAAAAGCTGAAAGCCTCGAAACTTCTAACCTCTAACCTCAAAGTGCTAACCGCGGTTTGACGTTTGCGGTGAACGCAACAAACGTTGATCGCTGCCATTAATCAAGACTAACAGATTTAAGAACTCGTTTATCATGCACCATGCAACCAAGGCCACTGGATAGTTCAAATTTCATTATTATATTTATCGTGTGTGTGACGCGTGTAAAAGAAGTTCTGAGCAACCTCACATATCTTCGGTATTATGTAATGAAAAACTGATGAGGAATACAGATACCCTTTCAGGTCCAACGGCACAGGACACTGCAACCAAGACATATCACTTAGATGAGAGCATAGCTACAGACCTGTGTTTGCGAGAGGGGAGGGGTGTGACTTGCCCACAGAGCTTGTCTCCACGCTCCAGTCTCCAGGTCCCAAACGGTCACTTCATTGTTACCTTGCACGGCTGACACTACCCAGGACTGCTCGGTCGGGTGTGTGGCGAGCCGACGAACACGGGCGCCTGGTGACCAAGAAAGAAGCATTATAAGCATGAAAAAACCTTATCAAGCGTCACACTTGCTATGCGACTACCCCTTACGGCTGCTAGCATATTGATGGGGTGAGACAGGTCTGTCTGGGACCCAAACCGAGATACATCACCTTTAAATTTACAAAAAGAAATAAAAAAAGTATAATTTATACACTTTTGCTGTGTCCTTTTCCATCTAGGAAAAACGGTAAAATGTTACCGTGAAGTGATAAGCACTTTAAAGGAGGGGAGGAGAAAGGCATGCACTCCGGCACTCATAACCATCGTGTAAATGCTAACTTAAAACCTTACATTGCGTTCTGAAATCTATCGTCGTATGTTAAGAAATTGGGTGAAACAGAAAGAAAGTACCTCTTGGATGAGACAGACTCGTGATCGGCAGCTGAAATCGTAGATCCCAGCAGACTAACATACCAGCACTCGTCCCCACGGTCAGCCAACTGTGACAAGGGTCCACCACAAAGGACGTGATCACACCTGATAAACAAACGTCAAAATTATTGTAACTAATCACAACTGAGAATGAATCAGTTTTGATTACTTCAAGTGCTGCGTCATACCTCTGATAAAAGATACAAGTCTCCGAGACCCATCGCTGTAGAAATATCAGGGCCCAGTTGTTTAAAGAGTGGATAACGCTATCAAATGGATAAATCACTATCCAGCGGATAACTGTTAAGAAAACGTACCGCGCTATCCATCGGGTAGAGATTTATCCAGTGGATAGCGTTATTACATGTTTGGACAACCGGGGCCAGGAGATTACGACCAATTCACAACAGCCATGTTTACAAAACAGCAGCATCCGCTATAGCTTGTCTCTTCTTGAAGTTCTAAATTAAGCAATTACGCTAAAACATTTCAATAGCCATTCCATGCCTCTTCTCAACTCGGTATTTCCAATTATTTTTACACTGGTCTAGCGATCCTTTGGCTTGTTGAACTTTCAAGAAGTCCAAACGATTTTAGGCTGTAATACGAGGTACTACAGGCGGTAAATTTTAACGGTTACCGCCTAAAAAGGAGACCACTGCCAGCTTGGAAAAAAATCTCTGACATATCCACCATAAACGTGCTACTCAACAAAAACAGTGTAGTCCAGGCTGTGACTTCGCGGTTTGCACCCTAAATTCAGGATACATGGGGCAAGCAAAGCCATTGAATTGTGTCCTTTCACAAGAAACCCTGTCACGGTGCCTTACTTATTCTATTACCCTCTTATTCTCCACCCAGGAGATTACAGAGATACTCGCGGGCTAGCTCGCCTGATGATATGAAGAAGGGTTAAGGGGGCAGCTAATAAAGTTGCTGGTATTCTAGTAAAGGCAACATTTGTAACAACCAAGACGACAGTGTTTACGACGTGTGCGTTGAAAATAAAAATATATTCTACCATTGACATTACCATGAGATGGATCGTTTTCTAGTTTCCAGGCCAGCTTAGATGATCGAAGATCCCAACCACAGATAAGACCATGAGATGTAGCATACGTTAACACTGACTGGGAACCTAAAAGAAAGGTTTCGAACAAGGGTAGGAAATACATACAAAAAAAAAAAGATACGAAAATGAAGAATTTAAAAATTCTTCACAAGCGGAGGACGAAGACAAATACAACTTCCCGTAAGGATTCGAGGCCCAGGTTTGAATTTGTAGTCGGATAAACAGGGTTCATACTGGATTCATACTTCATACTGCTAGGATGAGCAGCACGGAAAGTCTTCCATGCACGAAACAGTCTCTTACTGATTAAGACCAAAGCATACAGTAACGAAAACCTGCTCTAAGTGGATGATACATTGTGTGTCTGCGTTACCTGTTTCAAATTGAGTCAATTCTACCACTGTCCCTTCTTCTTTGGGGTCCACTCTTTTTTCAAGCCTGGAATTGGGTTGCTGACTGCCCTGCTCGATTCTGTTTTTAGAACATAAAATATCAACAACACTTTACGCACAGCGCACCAGCGATGTAAACACGAGAGTGAACAGATACACCTTGAACCTTCAATTTCAAAAATTCGATTAGTACTACTCCCTTACTATGTTTTTTTTTTTTATCTAAAAGTACACACGGAGCCGTACGGGTCATATGTTGATTTGTTTTGTTCCATTGCAGAGCTTTTCAAACCGCTTGGTAATGCTTTTTTTCTTATCCTACCTAAAGACATCAATGGTTCCTTCATCAGAAGCGCAAGCTATGGAAATGGATCCTTGACAGAAAGTCAACGCCTTCATTTTCCAACCTAGAGCACAAACAACGGGCTCAAATCAATTACTCGCCTGGTAGCAAACTTTCACGCACAGTCGATTTAGACTGGTGGTTCCATACCCTAAATGTTCCGGCAATTTTTCACAAGACCTCTAAAACTATTAACAAGGTTATAGTTTAAGTCCTCAGGCAGGACATAGAGAAGAGTGATTTCACTCGTTTCGTAAATAAACGGAATTTTCGCTACTTCGTCTCTCTCTCCTCCAACAATTTTTGACAGACGAAATACGCTGTTGTATTTCTGATCGTAGAGACGTTCTGTGAGTCTAACTTGAGGTATCGTGCTTGAAAGCACACCAAATGACCTAGGTCGACACTCAAGTTCAGGCCATTAGATCTCTCAGACAGGTCATTAAGGCGCAGCGAAACCTTTAAATGAAGCGTGGTACGGTGAGAGATGTTACCTTGTCTGGTGTACGTCTGCCTGGACTTGTTAATCAGACTCCTGCCATCAAGTTTTTGTAGATCCCACAGTTTGACAGATCCATCATCAGATGCAGTGGCAAAGTGCGTGAAGTCTGAACTCAACTGAAGTCTAAGCGAAAAGTATAACAACATGTCCATTTAAATACTTTTTCAATCAATTGAGTGTACTGCGGGATTAATTTTACTTCACTACACCACGATTGGTCGACAACTCTCGCGCCACCATTCCAGCCAATCAAATGGTGAGTTTTCCTACGCATGACTAAGCCTTTATAGATTTGACTTCTCATTGGCTCCTGTGCTTTGGTTTCACAACGCTTAGTCGAGAATCACGTTCCTGATCTCATTAGGAATAGAAAGCGATTAGGACATGTTTACAACGCCACATTAACGTCTTTTGATGATTAACAAGTACAATTTTTTTTAAAGTTGACTGATTGGGAAACCCAACAGATTTCTTTGTTATGGTTATTGTAACTATTTTTTGAACCTGACTGAGCCCGCACGACGTTCAATACAACTCCAGTTATTTTCTCAGGACTAACTGTCTAAAAAGGAACTTCACATTCATTTATTCTGACACAATGACATGTGAACATAGAAAAAAAAAGATTGTGAGCGATCAGGGAAGCATCCAACCTAAATTGCATCACGGAGGTTGTTTTTTATCATTGATTAATTCAAGTTTCTCTTGCTAGTCATCTCTATTAACTATGTATGTTTACCTGTTAATGGCTGCCTTATGCTCGTGTAGATGAGCCACTAACAGTCCTTTAGGAACCCATCTGTTGACACAACACAGACCCATGAATATCTGTACACCCTCTGTTTTATACACCAAAACCTACTCATACCATAGGACTATATTACGTCAACTTACCGAGACTGAACCGGTTTACTACCTTCAGCTAGCACGCTTCCAAGAAGAGCTTTCTCCTTCATGTCTGCAATCAAATAAAAAATCCCAATACTCAAGTACATACACCAGAGCGCTTTTCCATATAATGTTGGAAACTTACGATGAAAGTGATCACCATGGCCAAGCAGAGAAATAAAAACGAAGGTATCTCATGGAGCCAATGGGAACTCAAAGTAAAACTGCCTAAAGCGCGGGAAAAAGTGAATGACAAAGTGACAGTTGGTGTTATTTTTACACCCGATTGGTTGAGAGGATGAGAGGCGTTTTCTGAATCAATCAAAAGCATAGTGAAGTAAAGCAATGCAACCCTGTTTTTTTTTCCACTCTCCACCAAGTCGTGAACACCTTTGAGCGTATCTTCTACAGGACAGCTTTGTATTATCATCAAAGGCTGTGATGTCAATTTAAGACTTGCGTTGCCATTTATAATTCCATTGAAAAAGATGAACATAAGTAGTCCAAAACACAAGATCCAAGTGAAGGCACGCGCTTTGCCGGTGCTAATATAGGCATGGAGAGCAAAGGAGTAATAATATTCTTATCTTTTATGAAAATGCAGCCGCAGCTCATTTCAGTACTGTGCGAAGTAACTATCATTCTTAAAACTTACCCGCAGCATTTTGCTCTCTTTTGTGGTGTACCAGTTTCCGTAGATCCAGCTTACACAGTGCATACCGCGCTTGCAATGGATTCTGGGTCAAAAATTCTTGCGAGACCGGCAAAGATTGTTTCTTTAACTGGGAACCAGACTCCGGGCGCGGTATAGTGGCGGGCCGGCTAACAGGCGGGCTGAGAGTCACTTGATCTTTGTTGCTGTCCTGAAATAATATTAAACGTGTCAGTGTTAAACGCAGTCAATCTGGAAGTAGAGATTTTCAACGTTTCTTTAAAGACGGAACAACGAGTCGGAAGGAAGTCCTTACAACAGATGATGGGGACAAGTATGACAAAGAAATTGTTTTTCTTTAATGAATGAATGAATGAATGTAGTCTTTATTAATTACACAACAACATATACATGCAAACAAACGTGCAAGGTTAAAAAAAATTCATCACTAAAGAGAAAACTAGTTGTAATCTAAATAAAACTAAAAAGACATCTGTTAATAAAAGTTCGCTTAAAACGTTCCCTCTGCATGGGAAGTAGGTCACGTAGACAATGATCGCAGTCTTCCGTGATCTGGCTGCGACATAATTGGTCCCCGAGACAAGCTGCACAAATTCAAACTGATTCCACTTCAATTTAAGCGCCGATTCCTGCTTTAAAACGAGTCGCTACAACTCCTTTTTTTTGGATGCAGTTCCCTTCACCAGGCGATTTGTAACATAGGCTTATCGCGTAAACTTGCCACTTCATGTCCTAGCTATGATTAATTAGAGCACATTTTGACTGAATGTCGTAAAAAAAGGTAAGTAATAGCCTATTACAGTAATGGAAAATATAAAAAGAGTGAATAATCACGAAAATAAAATCAAGCAGGCGAGCGGGAAAACCGCCAATGACCAAGTCGCGGTTGGTTGTAGTACTCCATCTACCTGGTTGAGACAGTGGCGGGTATTTTCTAAACAAATCACGAAGAAGAAAAACCATTACAAACCCGATTCGCTATCGACAATAAACTGCAAATTACTCCGAACTCTTTCCAACTCACCCCAGCAGGCGGAAGGGAGATGGTTTTTCCTAATGGAGACTTTGGTCGATTTGTATTGATTGGCATGGACTCTCTCCTCGCCATGACCAACGCCACTGCAGCGCTTTCTGCTCCTCCAAACATGTGATGCCATTCAGGGTTCTATCAACAATGATTAATACGTAACTTCTCCATAGAAAGTTAGGATAAACTCTTTGAATCCCAGATGTGATTAAGATGTAACTCCTCCCTATAATATCCATACATTATCAAGCACACAGGAAATGAGAATACTCGAACTTAAACTCATCAGGTAGAAGTTGTTATCTTGATCTATTACCAAATTCTCGAAACTAATTTACAAGAAAATGTGTAACAGCTAAAGGGGAGAATAAATTGAATCAGATCTTGGGAGTTGACGAGATTAACGATGATAATCGGCTAGGGATATGTGTTGATGCCATGCGTTTGAAAGCAAGAAACGCAACTAACAATCAAGCAACGTAGCTTAACTCTCTTAACAATATTATGAATAAACAAAAAACGAAGAAAGTCTCCCCTTATACTCAAATTTGAATTGAGATAAATTAAATTTTAATTTTCAACAGGTCTTTGGGTTCTCAAGAAGTTTCGTTGCGGTTGTTTGTCACTAGTTCTTTGCGGCTGTTTACAAATGCTCCCCTACTCCACCCACTCTCCTTTCCCTCCTACTGATCCACACATTGTTGACAGGTTCCTATAAGGATGGTATTCTAGCGGCACATAATGGAAGCCCTTGGATACCACACGTACCCCAACCGCTCTTCAGTGGGTACGTATGCACGGGTAATGTACTAAGTGACCTCGAGCAAGCCACTGCCCGAGTGCTCTTTACCACAAATCTTTCCAGCTGGAGAGCATTGTAGGTTTATACCTTGGCCACAATTTAACACCCTAAAGAATCACAGAGGAATGTGTAAATAACTCAATCTCACCATCGAGGGCTGTTCAGCATTTGAATTCTTTTTGTTCTTAGCACTTCCTTTCTTGTTTGCTGAGTTCATGTCGTTTTTCCCCTCGGTGGATTTTACAAGTTCCGCGTTCCGTCTTGTGACAGTCTTTCCCCCTTTAAGGGTCTTGAGGTTTATGTCTCCCCTCATCACTTCTTCATTGCTATCTGGCTGTTCCATGGCACTAAAGGAAATAGTTTATGGAATTTTAAATAGAATGTCAAAAAAATAATCCAAGATGGTTTTGCTACGCTCTGTGATTGGTCAAGAAAACTCTCACCACCCCCTCAGCCGACCAGATGGAAAAGTACACTCGCGCTTCAAGCAGTTTTGCAGTTTGAGTTCTCATTGGTTAATGATGATGACTACTTAGGTTAGAGTGTTTTGACACTCAAGTGAGAAATTGCTCTATCAAAATGAGGAAAGATAAGCATTTCTCACGCACGTAGGACAGAGGAAAATATAATTTCTTCGTGAGAATTCGAGTCGCGGAGCTTCTAATTCCATGTTCGGATCCTGTACCAGCTAAGCTACAGAGAATTCGTGGTCACCTTGGACATACACTACGTTCATATTTGATCAAAATGCCAGACTCCGGTTGTTTGAGGGATGGATAACGCCACTCACTGGATAAATCCCTATCCGGTGGATAGCGCAGTATCTTTTGTTCACCCTTAACCGCTGGATAGCAATATACGCTCTTTGAACAACTGGGCCCTGAAGATCTTTAGGAGAAATTGATTCATCATCAAATGTAGTCGTGTGAAGAGCAAAGGAAATGGTCCGAGAATACGAACTTTTATCGGAAATCAAAACTGGAAGTTCAGATACGGGGTTTCAAAAACTTTTCCCATAAGCGGCTGGTGATGACGTGATAGGCGGCTGAACCCGGAAAAGGAGCCGCAAGGCGAAGACCCTAAGACGAAAGCCTGCTTGTAGGCTAAACATACGGTGGTAAGAGGTCTAATGGACGGCCGTAGACTGCCGGTAACTGGCTTTTATTAACTCGATGTGAAAAAGGAGAATTTTAACGGTCCAACGCAATACAATAAATTTCAATACACGAAAATTCACCATGAAGTTTAACACACATCAACCGTCTAGTCATGGTACCCGTAAAAAGTGAAGGACGGAATTACCTAGTTTTAGCTCTGTGTAACTTGAGAATCACTTCCTTGAGGAAAAGTAATTTGTCCTCGTCCTCCTCTGTGATTCCCTGTGAGTGCAGTTTGCGGAAGATGGGTACCAGAGCCTCATCTGTTTCTGGGTAATTTGGTCTCTGACCCGCACGGCACAGATTACGAACTAACTGTCTGTCCTGTAAACTGAGGGGGAAAAAAGTTTACAATAAATGAATCAGAAGCAAGGCATGGCACGGTTTATAATAGAGAGCAGTCCATCAACAGACAACCTACAGAATCGGGTCCTACCCAAGAACGTTATCACAGTGAAATAACACGCATTTGTCTTCCATGACTTCCATTCAAAAGTGGTCACTTGACAGATTCTCGTGATGCGAACGACCCTTGTTCAAAGTAACAACCACACTTCTGTTAAATTTCTCTCCCATAACAATACTAAGTAACTGAAGTTGAATAATTCTATATTAGTCACATACATACCACCAAACACGACACACATTCGTACCTGTCAAAGAGACTGACGACGTGGGGTGATCGGATAATAAAATCATATACACCTCTGTTAATGGGTTCCTTTAACAAGCTCACCAAGATCACCTAAAGACCAACAGAACGTTTTACCATTGGTCATGCATGTATTATTGTTCATGTCAATACGGTTTGACTTACATAAATTGGTACAGAGAACTTGTGTCATCCCTTTACAACCTAATAACAGTAGGCATATTCTTCATACAGTTTTCCATTCATTTCCTAAGCTATTGACAATTGGAGTTTAACAATCAAGATCTTCGTTAGTTGGTGATCATTTCCTTTATTCTCGTGACCTTAATGCACGATGAAGGGGTGATTGATAAAGTGAAAGCCTTCCCAAATCTGTCAGGACAAGTACAAATGACGTACTAAGACGTGATGGCGCGAAAATCAGTAAACTAACAATTTCAAAATTACTGCACCTCCTGATCGACTTGGACAACAGGTTGTTTGAGAAATGGCTGAAGGAGAGGCAACAGATTGCAGTGAACATCAGCTATGTTGAGAGTACGAGCCACTGCAGCCACAAATCCGACTGCTCCGTAACGAACCCACATGTTCTGTTGAGGAAAATGAGAACATCACCTGAATGTCTTATATCTCTAATTCTGGAAAGAGCACATTTCGAATGAGTGTTGTGAATCCAAAACAAAAGTAATGGTGACGTCCAATCAAATCATAACAAAATATCACATGCAGCGAATGAGAACCAGGAGGAAACACGTGACCGATCTCAGTCAAGCGCGAAAAAGCGCGAGAGACCAAATCGCAGTTGGTTTTTTTAATTTCAACGCATCTGATTGAATGCAAAGAGAGGGTGGCGCGAGATTTCTGAACCAATTACAGAGTGAAGTCCATGCAAACTTAAACTCATTTGGTCCCGGATGACTTTCGACACTAATTTGAAAATTGCCTGAGTATATTAAGCAACATTGTTATTTGCACTCACGGGATGGCAAAGAAAGGGAACAATCTCTAATACAAGTTCTTGCAACGTCGGTTTTTGAAGCAATCCTAGTTCGGCCAGACAAGTCAGCGCATTCAAAGCTTTACACACCACAAATTCTTCAGTATCACTCAAGCCCTACAGAAACAAACAGAACAAAACCAACTAAAATAGAGAAACTACGTATTAAGTAATAGCATCATTCTAAATGGTAAGCGGAACATAAACAAATAAATAAATAGAATAGGTTATCAGGACTGGCGATAAGTTTTGAAGCAATCACTACATTGGAGATATCACCCATAGCTGAGCAAAACGTGGCCAAGTGTAACGTGTCAGCAATCGACATCTTCGCCCGGTACATCGCGTGACTCAGCCGTAACAGCTGTTACAGGTGACAGCTCTTATTCATAGCCCCAGTTGTTTGTTTTCATTTAACCAAAAATAAACTTACAAAGACATCAATTGCGAACCTGCTCTAGCAATGGTCTGAGCATCACAAGACTCTGCCATCCAACATAGGCAGCAACACCAACAATACTATCAAAGAAAGCTCCTCTCAACTGCCAATCCTGCTTGTCATTAAGGAAAGTGATCATGTGCGACAACAGAACATCATTCGCCTTCTGTCGACCAAAGAAAACACACAGTTGTGTGATGCCATTTTCCAACAGCGTTTGTTTAACAATGTTTTCAGGATCACTCAGCAGAGTAACAACTTTTCTTTGGATGAGCTCGTGCAGTGCTTGCAGTTCAGTGTCGTAGCTACCCTAAAGAAAAAAAAAAAGAAGAAACAGAATATTAAACTAATTGACAAAAATTACAACTAACCCAACATACACTGTACATATTAACATAACACCTCCCGCTTACTCGGGGAGATGTCTGATTTATGTGAGGTCATTTACTTCATGAGTAAACATTTGTTTCGACTACTGCGAAGAGAAGCGAAATTTTGTTCCTCAATTTTCACTCCAAAATTTCAGAAGACTTCACCTCATTGAATTTTTTTCCTATACCACGACGTTTAATTGCGTTGCTTGTGAATTTCAATACCTGGAATTTCCGCTCCATCTCAGCTACAAATTACTCTCAAAATTTCGTTTAACTCGCGACGAACACAGTTGAATGCCTTCTGGATTCCCGGCGAAATTTCATTGAAACTACGATAAAAATGATTAAAAGCGCTCTAAATTCCTCGAAATTCGTTTTCATTACTTTTCCGCCAAACTACATTGTATAACATCAATTCTGGGCACTAAAAAAAGCAGTGATTCATGAAAATTCACCTGATACTGTATGGGAGCGTCACTATCTTCATTATTTTCCTGATTGGCAAAATCTAACTGGGCCATTTCCAAAAACTTCAAAGCCGTCTCGGCCAGGGAGGCAATATTCTCAGCATATGCTATTCTTACTATGACTTCTTGGTCTTGAGTCAGCCAAGACAGGCTCGGCAGGATGTACTCTGGGAAAATATTTGCGTCGCTGCGAGGCATACTGCGAACAAGTTGTAGACACTGAGTTAAGATCTTCAGGGCTTGGGCCCTGACTTGTGGTAGAGGGTCGTTGACAAGGAACAGAATGTAAGGAAGAAGTCGCTCAAGAATTATATCGTCGCTGACATGATGGGCAATTTTCAGGAGAAGCTCCAGAACTGTCAGTTTGGACACACAATACTGAGGAGAAAGCCATTCAATTTGTACAAGTTTTGTTTGCTTATATCATGTACATGCGAATTTAACATACTTACAGCTTATACAGAGCAACGATTAAAATTACACGTTGTTAATCTTTGGCTTTGAGCAGTTTTCATTTGAATATCGAAAGTAATCACATAGCTCACGGGGTAATTTTCCGTTCACTGAAAGACCTTTAGGCAGGTTATTTATTGTCTCGCTATTGGCATACACTAAAGGGAGCTTACCCGAGGATTACAGTGTAACTATAAAATTTTGCATCATTTACCTTACAGCTTCTGATGCAAGAAGTTAGGAGAGAGA